AAATTTACCGCATTGTAATTTGTTATCGCCACTGTTTTAATCAATAAATTATGAAATATTTCATGTCAAATATTTCCAACCTCAAGGACATAAACCTTGTCGTCATCCTTGGCAGGAATTAGTGAATCGTAAGAGAAGTATTCCCCGAGCGTCTGGAAGAGGACGATCATGAAGATGATGACGATGGAGAAGAATAGCCAGATGTCCACCATTTTAAAATACGAAGTTTTTGGCAGAGAGTTTGAAGTCTGCAAATATAAATTGACTTGTGAAATACCTATTTTCAAAAAGTATTTAATAGTGTAATGTAAAATTGTATAGTGACAGCATGCAAGCGAACTAAATCCAAGAATTACAGTGGTCGACGTAGCCATTCCAACATATCTTGAAATTTTTGGAATACTTTCGTCACCTGAGTGAAGAGCGATGCTAGCACAAGCAATGACGTGAGCGCAACTGAAATTCTCGATTCGAATTCCACTGGATTAAAGAAGAGCGAGAAATACGCAATGGCAGCCAGCAGCACCGTAGGGATGTACAGGGTAAGTAGAAGCCAGAACGTCGAGTGAACCGAACGCCGAGTTTCATCTGCGAGAACTCGTTTTCGACGTTGTGCTCTGCTTCTATGAAATCACCTGAAAAAATCATAGCCCCTTCAAGCTATTTAAGCTGTTATGAATTAAACCTATCTTCTGGGAATTTTGTTTTTGATTTGCCGATGTTAGCAATGTTCGATCCTTGTTAATATTAAGTTGAATTGTTATAACGTAATGCTTGTAGATATATGAAAGTCATTGGACGCGGTGACAATTGCCTGAAAAATTATTAAGGATCCTGTTGGAAATTCTACACTTCAAGGTTCAAGGTCTGCGGTATGTGACGTGATTATAATTTACCTATTACTCGTAATTGCACTTTACCGGACTATGATTGTTTCTGACCCAATGACCAAGGGTCATTGGGTCAAAAATAATCATTGTCCGTTAAAGTGCAATTAATATATAAAAATTTTCGCACTGCTTACTTATAGTGTACTCAACGAGATCCTTCCTGCCGATGTACGTGATGTTATCAGGCCTGAGCACCATGTAGTTGGCAGCAGCCGACGTCAGAGTGAAGATCATGGAGCAATCCTGGCCAAAATATAGAAATTAAAGTGCCACTGCCTGATTTTTTATTTCATAAATATTTAAACATATTTTTGTTATGTTTTTAGTGGCGGTAGAAAACGGCGATGGCTGTGATGGATTTTAATTTGTTATATTGGGCGTTTTATTCGAATAAATAAAATTTTTCCTCAGTACTGATTGAATTAAGAACTGAATAGAACTTAATTGAATTAAGTTCTAAATAAGGTGTTTATCATCTACTTATATTAACAGCGTGCACATATCAATATGAACAATTTTTAATATTTTTAAACTATCGCATGCGACAACATTTTCATCCTTTCCATATTCTATATGTGTAGAAAACTCTTAAACTTTGTTGTTCAACTCAAACGGGAATGAATCGGCTTTTTGTGGTTAATCGTGATTTTACTTTAAATTTACATATCTATCCATAATCACTTAGGAACAAAGACAGAATTTACACCAGTAAAAATTCGCGTTCAACTCACCTGGGCATCAAATGGAAACATCAGTAAATCAAAATCGCAGGAATAAACCGCATTGTATAGCTGGCTCATCGCCACAGCGCCTTCAGAGCCGCTGAATATGTTCACTGTTGAATGAAGACGTGCAACGCACGAATACAGGAATAATTTTGACGTACGGCAAAAATTAACATGTTTTCTACTTCATAATATCTTATTGCTCATCCAAATTTATCGATCGTCGGCAATTTATTATACAATGAAATACAAAACTAAAAATATCAAAAAAACACATGCAAGCTAGAGTTTCATTCATTACTCGTATTTGCTGAAGTGATCAATATAAGACTATTTCAACTAATTATTTTCAAGTAAGTAACCGTATTAAAAAATCTATTGAATTTGCCTGTGGCCTCACAATGTTTTGGTGACGAAGGTGTAATTATCGTCATGTTGAGAAGTGAATAAATACTATGGTCATCTAGTTGATACATTAATACATTTTATAATTTATTACCTTCTGTTGCCGTGTCTGGTCCGCCTGGTCTAGCATTTCCTCCAGCAATTAACTCAATCCGAGATCCTTCCTCCAGATTAGAAAACAGATTACCATTAGCGTTGAAAAAGAAGACTAACGGGGTCCAAATTTTCGTTACCTCATCCTGAGGCAGCAGGTTCAGAGAACGCTCTTTTTTCAGGTTCAGAAAATCAAGGCGCGAATCCTGCCATGTTAGCAACAGCTTTTAAGGTGTGCTTCGAATGAGAGCTCTTCAGTTTTGATAACAGGGAATGAAGAAGAGATATACACAGAGATAATTTCTGGCTAGTGGGTAATCGGACGTATCACTAGGTTCATACAAAATATTTTTTGGGTAGATCCAGTCTGAACAGCTAGAATGATTGAAGTTGATTGAAGTAATTCATTCAATTGAGGTGCTGATGTCAGGATCTTTAATAGTGGTGCAGATTTTTTTAAATGGATTCTATCGCTGTTCTTCTCTTATTCATGATAAACTATTGTTCTTTACGCAGATATCGAAAAATTAATCACATAAGTCGGTCTATTTTAATGACTTTTTTGAGCCGCCAACAAAACGTGAGGAACCAATGTTTTGACCAGTATGTATGTAATCTACGTCGAAATGTGATAACATTGACGGAAGGCCAGTTTATTGCTCAAGCTGATCTGAGGCTAGTATTGCACCCGAGATTACTAGTACTAGTTATTTATTTTAAGAATATGATTTTTGCCTTTGGGACATATGATAGCATTAGCCTAAGCTGCTAGTTGGCACGATGTTCGCAACCTATTATGTCCTTGACTTTGCGTTATTCTGCTGATATAATAATTGAGAATGTTTCAGCACATACTAATCAATGTCCAACGAGTGGACCAAGGCTAATCCTAAATGTCTTAAATGTACTAGGCATCGAATGATCACTCTTCTAGATCCAGTTTGTGTTGAAAGGTATTTTCAATTGGTACAATTGGTATTTCCGAGCAACAAATAGTGAACCATTTCCTTTTGAACTCAATATCTAATTTCTAATTGTATTCGATGTTTACTTAGACAAATTCTAACAAAATCCTGAATGTGCAGGATTTACCTGGGCATGAAGAAAATAAACTTAATTCCAAGTATCGTCGTTTTGGAACCTTATTGACTTCGAACCCGTGTATACGGATAGGACAACTCGGCGGTTACCGTGATTGAAATATTCCGCGACAACAGGTGCTCGTCCAACTGTTAGGTACCAATTAAACCCAGTTTAGGCAAGGGGCTTTATGGACTAGTTTCCAGTGCTCCTATAAGAATAAATAAGAAAGTGCTCGTCCATATTGCCGACTGCACCATAGATAAGGTAAGCACCGGTAGCTATCGCTTCAAGGTACGACTGTTCCTAGACTCAGGTTCACAAAAGACTTTCATTAAGTGAAAAGTCGCGAGAATGTTGAGAATGCCTGAAGTTTGCAGTGTAACATACCATATTGATCTCGGCGCTGAAGTGTAGGCCTGATGAGGCCTGTCGCCGATTCCTTCCCTTTTTGTGCCTTGCTCACAGAAGATCTAAAATCATGTCATTTGACCGGATCTTTTCATGACTGACGATAGTTTGAAGTAGCTACTAGACTTCCACCGGGTAAAGTTAACAGTTGATGGATTTCAAAGTAGCGTAGAATCTACCATGCATGATGTTCTTCGATTTGATGTTCGGACTGATAGTGAATCTAAACCAGCAGAGGCCGTTGTCGTGGGTTCTATCTTGGATTATGTCTCCACACCTGGCAGATTTGATGCGGTCAAAGAATTGAAGAAATTAGGTATTTCTTTTACTGATCCTACAGATAACAGCGATAAGTTGAGCGTAGAAATTCTCGTATGTATTGGTCAGTATTTCATATTTGTTCCATCTAAAGAGGCGAATGAAATTGCTATCCTCCCTCTAAGTTAGGCAACTTGATAGAAAATCCCATTCCGAATGTTGATGATGGTTCGCCGACTGTCGATCCAGTGACTGTATTGAGGGTCGGTACGTCGCACGTAATCTTGCTACCATGCTGGAAAAATGTTGGGATTTAGATTCGATAGGCATAACCCATAATGATGAAGATGTTGAGAATGTTGAAGAGTTCAATCGTTATATCACATTCAGAGATGGTTAGTTTGTTGCCAGATTGCCTGGAAGAAGGATCATCCTACCTTGCCATCTAATTATGCACAAGCATTAGGGAGGGTGAAATCGAATGTGCAAACTTTAAACGAGCAAACTAAGTTGCTGCAGCGTTACAGGCCGCTTTTTCTGGCGACGTGATCCTTAAGATCCAAGCAGCCCAGTAGACATTTTTATGTTTAAAGGTGTTTTTAGGTGCCACTTGTAATCAGTTTTTGCTTAACATGCCGCTAAATTACAACTACAAAATATTGCTGATGAAAATTCGCATGAATTATTGAATTACTGTACACAATCAATGTAGCTCATTCTTGACCAAATGAAAACACGCTAATTGAATTTTATACGGAATCTCCGGCATGGTCGTGCTTATTGCCGGGAGCTTCTCGTTTCATGTGTGCGAGTCCCGTCTCCCCGAGTGCAAGCTTGACCTCGCTCTCTTTCGATCCTGTGTTGCCGTTTCGTACACTCGTGCGTGCGGTGATCGAGCTTACGAGACGCAACCCTGTCGACTGGCAACCTGGTTCAGACGACAATACTTGCTATAATTACATTGACTGTTAGTGTGATTCCGTGTGTATCTACGATGTTCTGGCTCGTTAATATCAGAGGAAGGCGTCACCTATTTGTGTGCCTCCATCGGCATTAAGAGTCATTTCACTGGTACTGGAAGGACTAAGCCTATTTTTTCTATTCAGCGAGTTTGAATAAATTGGATGAAAAAAACTCATGTTGCATGTATTTTATTTCTCTTACTCATTGTTTAGGGAATAGTGATTAGGCTTAAATTACCAAAAATTTCCAATTCAATGTGGCTAGTCAAAGCCTGAAGCAAAGTGTGAAGTGCTTTGCCATTATCAAGTCCATTTGTTTCAAATCATGAAATATAATATTACTTTCACGTGAATATTTTGGGGAAGTTTATTGAAGAATGCACATACTACCTGATTAGAATTATTTTTTTTTTAAATTAAGTTGGACGGTGTCTGTTGGATTTCATAACTTGGTTTGATGTGTCCGTACATATTATGCGTACTCGACACAAAATGTGAAGCTTCCGAGTCAGATATAGAAGGCTATGTTTTCCGGCTCTGAAGTCGATCATCACGGAGCCGCAGCTCCATCACGTATCTGTTGAAATTCATTCACAGTTTATAAAGTAATTCTCTAAAATGAACTGCTAACTGGCGTTGATGATAGTTGCTGTTGCATGGTTATTTATTGGTAGTTATTAGTTACTAGTTACACAAATAATTATTTGTATGTGAGCGAGCTAAACAAGAGAAAATATCTTGTAGAAAAGCAATAACACTAATAGAACTATTAAGGAGCATAAAATTTTATCGGTTGCACAGCACTATTGTGAAGCTACTCTTGATATTAAGAGCAGCTGAAAGATAAGAACATTTACGAATGTAACCCACTGGAGAGCAGTGCTCCAGTAAACTATGTTGAAAATCAAGTACGTCAGAGGAACGATGATGCGACCGGCCAAAAGAATTTTAATGTTCTTTGGTATTTGCCGAAACCTTCGCCTGGAGTTCCTGAACCATGAGGCCGATCGCAGTCTGGACCATGCTGAATCATTTTTGGTTTCCGAGGCGGTTTTCAGCACCTAGAAGAATTTTACTCAACTGTCATCGTGTCGTGCATGTATTGAAAGATGCTACATAAAATTTACCGCATTGTAATTTGTTATCGCCACTGTTTTACATAAATATATTATGAATTATTTCATGTTAAGTATTTCCGACCTTAAGGACATAAACCTTGTCGTCATCCTTGGCAGGAATCAGTGAATCGTAAGAGAAGTATTCCCCGAGCGTCTGGAAGAGGACGATCATGAAGATGATGACGATGGAGAAGAATAGCCAGATGTCCACCAGTTTGAAATACGAAGTTTTTGGCAGGGAGTTTGAAGTCTGCAGATATAAATTGACTTGTGAAATACTCATTTTAAAAAAAAGTATTTAATTGTGGAAAGTAAAATTGAATAGTGACAGCATGCAAGCGGACTAAATCCAAGAATTACAATGGTCGACGTAGTCATTCCAACATGTCTTGAAATTTTTGGACTACGTTCGTCACCTGAGTGAAGAGCGATGCTAGCACAAGCAATGACGTGAGCGCTACCGAAATTCTCGATTCGAATTCCACTGGATTAAAGAAGAGCGAGAAATACGCAATGGCAGCCAGCAGCACCGTAGGGATGTACAGGGTAAGTAAGTAGAAGCCAGAACGTCGAATGAACCGAACGCCGAGTTTCATTTGCGAGAACTCGTTTTCGACGTTGTGCTCTGCCTCTATGAAATCGCCTGAAAAAGTCATAGCCCCTTCAGGTTATTTACGCTGTTATGCATTTAACCTACCTTCTTTGTAATTTTATTACTGATTATTTAGTTTCACGATAGGCATTTATTCTCAGATCACGAATAATTTGAAAACTAGATCGCAACAACCATTTTAAAGGCCCATAGAAGTGCATAATATCAATTAACAAAACGCTTCTTGAGTCTGAACTGCGCAAAAGAAGCTTCGGGACAATAGTTATAACCAATGTTAGCAATGTTTGATCCTTGTTAATATTAATGTATGAATTGTTAAAACGTAATGCTTATAGATATCTGAAAGTCATTAAATGCGGTGACCATTGCCTGAAAAATTGTTAAGGATCCTGTTAGAAATTGTACAATTCAAGGTGTGTGATAGGTGGCGTGTTTATAATTTGCTTATTACTCATAATGGATCCGAATTAATTTAAAGAAAAATATTTCGAACGACTTACTTATAGTGTACTCTATGAGATCCTTCCTGCCGATGTACGTGATGTTATCAGGCCTGAGCAGCATGTAGTTGGCAGCAGCCGACGTCAGAGCGAAGATCATGGAGCAATCCTGGCCAAAATATAGAAATTGCAATGAAACTTCTGGATTATTTATTTCAAAAATATGTATAAATATTTTTAATATGTTTTCAATTGCGGTAGAACACGGAGATGGGTGTGCTGGATATTGTTACATTGTACATTATATTCGAAAAAATAGGAATTTTCATCAGTACTGAACGAACTTGAATTACATTCTAAATAGGGCGTTTTATCATCGTCTTTAGACTTATATGAACAGTGTGCACTTATCATTATGAACCATTTTTAAACTATTGCATCAAAAGGTCACATACTAGATGAATATGAAGTACGTAATTTGAAGAACTTAATTGTTAGGATACGGGTAAAATGCCGGTTGTAAATTGCGACAACATTTTCCTCCTTTCCATATTCTGTAGGTGGAATACTCTTCAACTTATTGGTCAACTCAAACGGGAATGAATCGGTTTGTGGTTAATCGCAATTTTACTTTTAACTTATCTACCCATTTCTTGGATAGATTAGCAAAGCTTAGCTTACCGTCATTTTTACGGCTTCAACTCTTATATAGGTAGTCTTCTTAACTGTTTTCGAGCCCTGTGACACCTATTTATTGAGGTGTTGCGGGAGAAGGGGCAACACATAAGGGCTACCCCAACGGGATAGTGAGAAAGAATGAAAAACTACATAAATGAAAGCATCAACTATATATTTAGTAAACATTGCATATAAATGAACAAGTAACCTCATGAGAGGTACATCACTAATCATAGATGGCTACCAGACCGAAAATGTACAGGTGAACATTAAAGAACACTACATAGATGTAGCTGGGCCCATCCGTTATCGCATAGAGGAAATCACAGTTTAGCGAAGATCGTCCAAGTCAAATCAATTCAAAGTGTGTGAATCTAGCGGAGGAGCGCAGTGCTTGCCGAGAGATTACGCCGGGACACTTTTCCGACGTTGCGAACAAGTTGCAGCTTCCTTCAACACTATTACACGAGTGGAAAGACAAATGTTCACAGCGACCAAGTCCATGCGACGTTCAGCGCCGGAAGCGTTACAGTCTTGAGACTGGTACTGTAGCTCCGATTGCCTGCAGCCGCACCTGTCCATGGCCGACGAATGACGAAATCAAAATACAAGAACTCTGGTTCAAATGAATGCTTGACGGCAGCATCGGAGGTCCATCAAAGGTATATCCTTGCCGACCAATAACGGCGTCCTGCCACGCCCGCCCAGGCAGGCGGCTCAATCGAGAGTGAGCCAACCCCGGCTCATGCCCAATTTCAGCTCCGAGTAATGCGTCGGAAAGAAAGAAGAAGAGCGCGAACGACAGAAAGTCGGACCGCTACAGAGAGACCTAGCCAAGAATTATGACTTCATCATCTGTAAGCCAAGTAAGGGCAAGGGAGTGGTATTTGTTGGTCGTAATCGTTATAATAGCAGCTTCTCTGCTCTCACTACGGACATTTTTGAATTTATAGAAATAACAGATCCAATTGCCAAACTATTTTGAAGATCGAAGACAAAATTAATAATTTCCTACGAAAACTTCAAGATTCCGCGGCACTGTCACCTGAAATTTACTTCAAACTTCATGCCTCTGACTCTTGTCCTAGTATTTTTTATGGTTTGCCCAAAATTAATAAACTAGATTTCACTTCGGAATTTCAATTTCGCCCAATTTTTGTTGCTTACAATACTCCAAGCTTCATACTTGCTAAATTTCTGGTTCCGATTGTGAGCTGTCTTACCACCAACCAACATACGGCAGACGATACTTACATGTTTGTGGACCGCTTGAAGAGTTTCAATAATGTTCAGGGCTTGACTATGGCTTCATTTGATGTAGAAAATTTGTTTATTAACAAACCCCTTTCTGAAACTATTGATATTTGTCTCAATTCTTAGTTTAAAGGTGTCAATGAACTTGTTATGGGTTTGAACCACAACTTTTTAAAATTTCTTCTTGAATTATCAGTTTGAACTCTGTTTCCGTATTTGCTGGCAAGTTTTATAGACAAATTGACGGTTTGGGCATGGGTGTTCCTCTCGGTCCTACCATTGTTAATATTTACATGAGTTTTCATGAGGCTACATGGCTGGTTAATTGTCTTATTTGATTTTAATTCAATTTTCTATAACCGATATGTAGATGATACATTTTTTTAGTTTTCAAACATCCCTCTCATGTGGGCCTTTTCTTTGATTATCTAATCTCCAACACAAATCCATCAAATTTACTGCGGAGCTTGAGTCCAACAAGAATTTACATTTTCTTGATTGCAAGGTCATAAAATCTGATGGCACTTTCCAGACATCTGTTTACCAAAATGGATGTTTACTGGCTTAAGCACCACCTTTCCAAGCTTTTTTCCTCTCGTTTTAAATTAAATGGTATTCAAACGTTGTTAAATCGCGGCTTTAGAGTTTGCTCTACAGGGTCCGCCATATTTATGGCAAGGGATGTTTGCTATATAAAATAAATTGGTTTCTAGGAGACTTTTCTTTGATAATGAAGCTTAATATCATCTATTATTTCATCTATTTTATATTGCATAAGTCTAAGGTGTCTAAATTTACTAATACTTATGGCAGTAGATAGAAATGCAATTGTAACCCATCATGGAAAGGGCGAGAGTAATTCAGTCATTTGCAAAAAGCTCCAAATTTGTCGTAAAACTGCGTGGAAGGTGGCAAAAAAATTTCATGAAAACTGGTGAAACATGCAATCGACCTGGTCAAGGAAGGAAACGAAGTCTCCGAACAAAACAACTTGTCAAAAACACGAGGGAGAAGTTCAGGAGAAACCTTCGTCGCTCAGCTGCAGAAGCAGGAGTCAGTCAGACATCAATGCGTAGAGTCCTCGAAGATAACCTCAAAACCTCCCCTTACAAGATGCAAACAAGGCATGAACTAACAGACCGTCATGAACGAATGAGGCTCGAAAGATGCCAGCACATTCTGGATCTCATTGAGGATGGCATGCTGCCCAACTTGGTGTTCAGTGGCGAGAAAAAATTAGACATTGAACAAACCGTTAACCGTCAAAATGACAGAGTTTGGAGTCGGGATGGATGGGTCGCCTGCCGAAGACCACCACTGCCCTAGATTTAATGGACCATCATGATTCCTGCCTTCCGGGACGTAGCCTTCAACACTTCAAGCCGTCCGTATCTAGACCGTGGGTCGAACCAGCCCTCGGTCGAACGGCCACTTGTCGAAAGACGATAGATTTTGGAACAGAACTATGCTATCTGAAACCTAACCTCGGATGCGGCGAACGCAGAATTACGTAATTTAACGATGCCCGGAAGTCAGATTCGATCCGCGGCCTGGTGGTGCACGGCAGGTTCTATGCGAGGCCGGAGGAAGTCAAAGCCGAGTGGTACACGGCTGATTGGTGGATGTCCGAAGAGATCCAAGCTAGGCGTTCGATTCAGGGCTTATTGGTGCACAAAATTGGTGGTGCACGGCTGCGCTCCCGGGATGGATCTGTGGCAACCAGAACAGCAATACGACGTCAAAATCCCATGTACGTGATGGTGGCCGCGCGGTAACCGCCACTGGGAGGTCCCCACTCCTTTTTGTCCCCTCACGAGTGAAATTGAACAGTCAGCGATACATTTCGGACATTTTGGAAGCTGTGTTGTTACCATGGGCCCGTAAACACTTCAACGGCTCACCATGGAGTTTTTCAACATGACTCTGCCCCATCACATGGCTCAAACATGACCCAAAACTGGATTCAGGGTCGCATCCCAGCGTTCATTCGTAAAAATGACTGGCACTCAAGAAGCCCTGATTTGAATCCTCTCGACTTTTCTGTGTGGGCTATTTTAGATCGACTAGGGTCTGCAGAACACCTAATGATTCTTTGGATAGTTTGAAGTCTAAATTGACACGAGAATGGGACTTGATCCCTCAAAAAATGCTGCGTGTCTCCTGTGAAGCTTTCCCGCGTAGATTGGAGGCCGTCTTTAAAAATGAGGGTGGTCATATTGAATAAATATATCTTAGAATTGTTAAAGGTAATTCTTGGCTACTAGTTCATCCAATAAAAAAACAATGCACCTGTTTGTTTCATTGAGAAATAACAAAAAACATGCGTTGCCATAAATATTGCGGACCCTGTACTTTCCATGCTATGCACACTGAATTTGGACATTTGCGCAGTATCTTTTCACTAAATGGGTTTCGATCACAATAATTGGTGTATACTCATATTAAGAAATTCTTGTCTAAGCAATATGATGAGGTGGTTCTCAAGCGTGACGATAGGAATGGAGTTCATTGTTCTTTTCCTTATTTTGGCCCCGCATCTGAGACTATGGCAAAGAAATTGAAAGACCTATTCTCTATAATTACCTCCCGAATGTAAATCTTCATGTATTGCTAGTGAACAATTTTAAAATTAGCTCGTTTTCATGATACAAAGGTCCTCTCTCTGTTCTTATGCGATCATCCCTAGTTTATCAATATAGTTGTGCGCAGTGCGCATCTGCGTATGTCGGTATGACATCACGCAATTTTTATACTAGGCTAGTAGAGCATAGAGGCAGGAGTAGGGAAACATATTTGCGCATCCCCTTCATTCAGCTGCACGTATTCATGCCGAGCAGTGCAACGTCCCGGTGTCCAAAAGTGATTTTAGAGTTTTAGCTTGCACAACCGGTGTTTCTGACCTACGGATTTTAGAATAATGTCTATTTTATTACAACACTTCTCTTTAACTTCACTTCTTGTTTGTCTGTATGTCTGTCTGCTACAAATCTTATAATCTATTTTTAACACACTTCTACCTCTCCAATCGATCTGAAATTTTGCACACTTGCGTAAAGTTGGAAACAATGCATGAATCAATTGACAGAATAAATAATTTTATAAATAAATTTTTTTCAATATTAAAAAATTGAAAAAATAGTTTTGTCTACTATAAATCTTATAATCAATATTTAACACATTTCTAGCTGTCCAATCTTTCTGAAATTTTGCAGACGTGCGTAAAGTCAGAGACAATGCATAAATTAATTGACAGAATAAATAATTTTGAAAATTTAATTTCTTTTATGTATTAAAATAATAAAAAAATTAATTTTTTTAATATTTGAAATTAAAATTAAAAATTCATTGTTCATGTTTTACATTGGAGACACAGGATTTTTAGAAGTGTTGTCTTTAAAAATTAATTTTTAAACATACATTATTTATTATTACAACACTTCTCTTTAACTTCACTTCTTGTTTGTCTGTCTGTCTGTCTGCTACAAATCTTATAATCGATATTTTACACACTTCTACCTGTCCAATCGATTTGAAGTTTGGCACACTTGCGTAAAGTTGGAGACAATGCATGAATCAATTGACAGAATAAATAATTTTATAAATTAAAGAATTTCTTTTTCAATATTAAAAAAATTTAAATAATTTCGTCTCCTACAAATCTTATAATGCATATATGACACAATTTGACCTGTCCAATTGATCTGAAATTTTGCACAATTGCATAAAGTCAGAGACAATGCATGAATCAATAGACAGAATAAATAATTTTTAAAATTTACAAAATTTTGATATCTTAAAAAATTTGAAGAATAATTTTTTTCAATATTTGAAAATGAAATTAGAATTTCATTGTACATGTGTAACATCCAAGATACTGGACTGTTCAGAAGTGTTGTCTTTAAAAAGCAATTTTTAAACGCATATTATTTTATTTAAACAGAAGCCCAGTTTGAATGCCGCTGCTTTCAGTTCCTATCCTATACAAATTGTAGATAGATAGTACCCAATGCTCATGCCATCTCATTTATATTTGTTTTATTTCAACTTTGGTTCTAATGTCCTTAAGTTTAGGTGAATTGTTTGAATGTGAATTTTAGGTTTCTAATTGTTTGTTCAATAATTGTTCCTGCGTTCTAGGTTTTGGACTGACGATGGAGCTGGACTCCGAAACGTTTTCCCTTATAAGAAATGGTGAATTTTTTGGTTATTTTCTTTGCTTTTAAATTCCTGATCCATAATCACTTCCAAATAAAGATAGAATTTACACCAGTAAAAATTCACGTTCAACTCACCTGGGCATCAAATGGAAACATGAGCAGATCGAAATCGCAGGAATAAACCGCATTGTATAGCTGGCTCATCGCCACAGCGCCTTCATTGCCGCTGAATATGTTCACTGTTTAAAGAAGACGTGAAACGCACGAATAATTATATCAAACGGCAAATATTATTATGTTTTCTGCCTCAAAATATCTTATTGCCTATTTAGATTCATCGATCGTCGGCAATTCATTATACAATGTAGGACAAAATTGAAAATATAATAAACAAATGCAAACTAGAATTCCATTCATTACTCGTATTTGCGAAAGTGATCAATATATCAAGACAATTTCAATTAATTCTTTTCAAGTATGTAACCGTATGAAAAAATCTAATGAATTCGCTTGCGACCTCCTTAATGTTTCATTGATGAAGAAGTGATTATCGTCATATTGAGAAGTGAAGCATTCTCCTGTCATATAGTTGATGTATTCATACATTTCTAAGAAATTTTACCTTCGGTTGCCGTGTCTGGTCCGCCTGGTCTAGCACTTCCTCCAGCAATTAACTCAATCCGAGATCCTTTCTCCAAATTGGAAAACAGATTACCATTAGCGTTGAAAAAGAAGACTAACGGGGTCCAAATTTTCGTTACATCATCTGGAGGCAGCAGGTTCAGAGAACGCTCTTTCTTCAGGTTCAGAAAATCAAGACGCGAATCCTGCCATGTTATCAAAAGCTTCAAATGTGCTTCGAACGAGAGCTCTTCAGTTTTGATTACAGGGAATGAAGAAATATACACAGAGATATTTACTGGCAAGGGATCGCTCCGAACACGCGGGGGAGGCGGGATTGTTGTGCTGTATCCGGTTGGGATGCTCAGAAGTGAACATCCAGCCTCGTCACTGTTGTCGCGACAGTCCACCCTGAGGTCACACCTTTTGCTCAAGTCTATGCACGACCCATCATCGCACGAGTATTTGCCAGATGAACAGGCTGACAGAGTCAGAAGAACTTTTTCGCCTTTGCTGTATCCACAAATTGGTGATTCTACTTGCCACATCTTCTTGCCAAATGGGTAATCGGACGGCTCATCAGGCTTGTACAAGGCTAAGGCATCTGGTGTCTGAAAAACGTTTCAAATATCTTCTTGCAGGAAGGAAATTTAGAGCTGATATTTTTGCAAATGTGAAATATTCAAAAATAGTGACATAATATACAAGAAAACATCTAATTACCAATGGTATTCGCTTAACCCCAATGTCTTAGCTCATTATAATCATTCTCCTACTTTTCTCGAAGTTAGAGTCCACTCTTTGGTTTCATTATTCCAAAAGATGTCCGAGTGAAGGTAGCCAGCGAGGGAAGGCCGGTTATTCACGCTTTCGTAGAGTAGGTATTGATTGTTGAAGGGCGAGTTTTCACATAAGAGAGCTCCTTTCAGATACATTGTTGTGTATTTCTTGAATTCGCAAAACATGCAGAATTTGTACGAGTCCAAGCAAGCGATATCTGACCAGAGTCCGTCGAAGCCAGGACCATATAACATCACAATGCAATTTTCGACGGTGCCTCCATTGGGGCCTCCACCACGCCACCGTCCCTGGTACGTGATTGATTCATTGGACTCGAAACGATCCCAACGTCCCTCTACATTCCCGTCCGTAGCCCCCAGCCACAAGTAATTGGATCCGAGGTAACTGGAGCAGTGGCCCGCCCATTCGACCGTCTCGGTGAACACCCGATACGTTCCAGTGCTGCTCGGACCACGCTAGTGCATCACCTTCTTCCTTGCTCCTGCATTCTGCGATCTGCCTCACCGTAAATGAACTTTGTTTTAGTGACTTAAATGATATTTATTTTTCAAATGCGGCTTTGGGTATACAAACGGTATTATTCAGGATGGGGGGGGGGGGGTAAATTCGAAAACTTCGATTTTTCCTGTTTATAATCTCATCATAAAGCTGACATTCTGACCTATCGAACGGTGCCAAAACCGTCTTTGTGCATTGATTTATGCGTTCACGACAGATCGCGAAAGTGTTTGGTGTCGAGGAGTTCTTTCACGTAAATGAACGGTCTGAAAACGCTGCACCTTAGTTACCCGGCAGCTGTCATGCGGGATGGTGCTCATGCAGTTGTTACCTCCATCCTTGACTGAATTTCAGCTCAAGTAGCGTTTCGTCTGGTATCCTTGCCACCTTGAACGCCTATTTTGGGGCACTCTGGGCTTTGTCGGCTCTACTGAACATTCACACTTGATGTCGCTGGGAAACAATCTCCTCCTAGAGTTTTTAAGCTACAGCAATGAGAGATATACCATTCGATTCGTAAATAAAAGATCTAGAGGTTGGTCGTAGTTTTTTTTCAATTTCGTTTTAGTTTTGAAAATATTTTGAAAAAAGGGATGGAAAATAAAAAATTCAGGAAAAATTCTTCCTACCCGCAAAAATTAGAATTTTAAAAGAAGCTACGACCAATCGATAGATATGGTTGGTCTTCACGCATCGAATAACGTGCATCTCGAGTTTTAGCTTGAAAATCCTTGGAGGATATCCCCTTTTGGCCATTTTATAAGAATTTCACGTTTTCTTTCATTTTTTTCGAAAAATTTACTTGAATGAAAGCCGTCTATTTTTCTGTTTTACATATGTGTGCCAAGTTTCAAAGTGATCCGCTGTAAATAACCGAAATAAAATTTGACCCAGACACTCGGAACTGATACCAGATAATAGGATTATATATAAAGTTATAGTAAACAACTAAATCCAATATGAATTGGTCGTTTAAATTGTCCAGTAGTTGTACAAATATTGTTCGTTCAATCTCGAGTGTGTCAATACCGGTACTTTATTGGTTTCTGTTTATTTGAACATACATTTTTTATTGTTACCGCGTCCAAAGCTCGGTGCCAGTAGTTGAGCTGAGTGATTTCCCCGCTGTAGCTTTGATCCCTCTCGAAGCCTCCCCCAAAATTGTCTTGATCCTGGCCTGCTCAGAACCAGCTTAGCGTTGCAAACAATTAAATTAAAGGTTATTTCTCATAAACCTTCATCACGGGCTAAGTAACTTAGCGGGAGTTAAAGTCATTACGATTGACTGTTAATTGGGCAAATTATGATCGTTAATGATTTGTTTAAGGCAACTTACCAATGACGAATGATCCGTTTCCAGCAATCACTCCAGAGAAAGTAGGTATATTATTTTCCGCTTGCTTTTCCCCATCCTTGAAAATAATCCAGGACTTGTCAGAGTCGTTGAAAGTGAAGCAAAAGTGACTCCAATACCTGAGGGGAGTCGTTACCGTGGACGTTGCCCAGGAGCCACGAAGAGTCACCTGGTAGCCTGACGGCCTGTGATCTGCTCTCGAAAATAACGCGTGGAAAGTTAAGACATACCAGAGTTTGTGCTCAAATGAAATCTAAAACTGGGGAATTTGTTCGGAATGAAATTACAAAATTTTTATAGTGAGAAATGAGACTCGTCTTAAAAGAATAATGCAAGCGCTGTAAAAATTGTAATGGCATTTTGGTGTCTGAATGCACTTGAAATATGCTTTCTCTCTTTCGCTTCATCAACGAAAAATAATTTTAAAAATCAACGCTTCTTTCAAAAAATGCCGTCAGGAATTGGCTGAAACCTATAATGACTTTTCGAGAATAATTATAAATACTCGTACGAACCAATCCTGAGGGCATTATCTTCTTTATCTGACAACGCATAGGACAGAAGGGTTCCCTCCTCTCTGTAGCGGTGCATGCGGATGCGGTAGCACGCCGTGAAATTTCGAAGCTCGGGGAACGGGTTCAAGAGCCGCGCGAAACTCGTGGCCGTCGGGGTGCCCGAGCGCTGCAGCAACATCACCGTCTCTTCACCACTGCCTACAGCATGACGACGACAGCAGCATGTCTTAAAATTCCATGCGGATTACAGTATTTTGTTTAAGAATAATCTATGAGAATCTGCGTAGAAAGTAGAGTAAGTAGAAAGAATATTCTGATTCACCTCCGCTGCTCGAAACACGGACGCACGCACGATACCCACGACAACTTGATGGTATTCAAGAGAAAACAATATGCGTTTAAAAATTACTTTTTATTACAACACTTCTCTTTAACTTCACTTCTTGTTTGTTTGTTTGTTTGTCTGTCTGTCTGTCTGCCACAAATCTTATAATCGATATTTAACACACTTCCACCTGTCCAATCGATCTGAAATTTGGCACACTTGCGTAAAATTTGAGACAATGCATGAATCAATTGACAGAATAAATAATTGTATAAATTAAAAAAAATCATTATTAAAAAATTAATAATTTCGTCTGCTACAAATCTTATAATCCATATATTACACAATTTGACCTGTCCAATTGATCTGAAATTTTGCACAATTGCACAAAGTCAGAGACAATGCATGAATCAATTGACAGAATAACTAATTTTGAAAATTTACAAAATTTTGATATCTCGAAAAAATGATTTTTTTTCAATATTTGAAAATAAAATTAAAAATTCAATGTACATGTGTAACATCCAAGACACTGGATTGTTAAGAAGTGTTGTCTTTAAAAAGTAATTTTTAAACGCATATTATTAAAGACAACACTTCTGAACTATCCAGCGTCTTGGATGTTACACATGTACAATGAATTTCTAATTTTATTTTCAAATATTGAAAAAAAAAAATTTTTCAACATTTATTCAAGATATTAAAATTTTGTACATTTTCAATATTATTTATTCTTTTAATTGATTCATGCATTGTCTCTGACTTTGCAATTGTGCAAAATTTCAGATCAAATGGACAGGTCAAATTGTATTAAATTGTGAGCTTATTAATATAATCTTAAACTGAACACAAGCGATATCTTCTAGTTAACGCGATCAAACGATAGGAAACTTAAATATATTATTCTCTAGAATAAATTAAAAATTACCGGGTATATTACTATAGTCTTGAGCTGAACACAAGCAATTTCTGCTTGTGAACACGATCAAACGATAGGAGACTTAAATACAGGGTGTTTCAGAATTAAGTAACCCTTTCAATTTGTTAATAAATAAAAAACTAAGAACGTTATGAAGTTGAAACTTGTTTTATTTAAAAGAAGAACATTTTCATGGTAATATTGTATCATAGTTACGTCATTATCCTGTATAGCTTGCTAAATTTGTGTTTAACTATCAAGCCTTAAATTTTCATCATGATTCGCTAAAGCAAAGAAGAAATAACAAAAATTATCGCTACAGTCAATAACGATGTCAATAACAGAAGTTCAACGTGATTACAGGATCAATTTCAAAACAAGGATCCTTCAAAAAACACATTTAAATATCTTTATCGAAAATTTGCGGATATCAAAAATTTGCACTCTCGTCAGAAACACTAATGAAGGTTATGAAAGCAACAAAGAGAAGAGCCCTATTTTGTCAAAACAATTGTGGTGGGCATTTAAAAGATATTATATTTAAAAACTAGGATACAATATTACCATAAAAATGTTCTTCTTTTAAATAAAACAAGTTTCAACTTCATAACGTTCTTAGTTTTTTATTTATTAACAAATTAAAAGGGTTATTTAATTCTGAAACACCCTGTATATTATACCCTAGAATAAATATAAAAATTACTGGACATATTACTATAGTCTTGAACTGAACACAAGCAATTTCTGCTTGTGAACACGATCAAACGATAGGAGACTTAAATATATTATACCTTAGAATAAAAAAAAGTTACTGAGCTTATTACTATAATCTTAAACTGAACACAAGCGATATTTTCTAGTTAACGCGATCAAACGATAGGAGACTTAAATATATTATACCCTAGAATAAATAAAAAATTACTGGGCATATTACTATAGTCTTGAACTGAACACAAGCAATTTCTGCTTGTGAACACGATCAAACGATAGGAGACTTAAATATATTATACCCTAGAATAAATATAAAAGTTACTGGACATATTACTATAGTCTTGAACTGAACACAAGCAATTTCTGCTTGTGAACACGATCAAACGATGGGAGACTTTAATATATTATACCTTACAATATAAAAAGTTACTGAGCTTATTACTATAATCTTAAACTGAACACAAGCGATATTTTCTAGTTAACGCGATCAAACGATAGAAGACTTGATATATTATACACTAGAATAAATGAAAAATTACTGGGCATATTAATATAGTCTTGAACTGAACATGAGCAATTTCTGCTTGTGAACACGAGAAAACGTGAGGGGACTTAAATATATTATACCTTAGAATATAAAAAAAAGCTACTGAGCTTATAACTATAATCTTAAACTGAAAACAAGCGATATCTTCTACTTAACGCGATCAAACGATAGGAGACTCAAATATAATATACCCCAGAATAAATAAAATTTACTGAGCATATTGCTAAAGTCTTGAACTGAACACAAGCAATTTCTGCTTGTGAACACGATCTAACGATGGAAGACTTAAATATATTATACCTCAGAATATAAATAAGTTGCTGAGTTTATTACTATATTCTTACACTGAACACAAGCGATATCTTCTAGTTAACGCGATAAATCGATAGCAGACTTAAATATTTATACCCTAGAATAAATAAATTTTACCGGGCATATTACTATAGTCTTGAACTGAATACAAGCAATTTCTGCTTGTGAACACGATCAAACGATAGCAGACTTGAATATATTATATCTTAGAATATAAAATAATATGCGTTAGATATTTACTTTTTAAAGACAACACTTCTGAACAATCCAGTGTCTTGTATGTTACACCTGTACAATGAATCTCTAATTTTATTTTCAAATATTGAAAAAAAATTATTTTTCAAAAATTTTTTAAGATATCAAAATTTTGTAAATTTCAAAATTAATTATTCTGTCAATTGATTCATGCATTGTCTCTGACTTTATGCAATTGTGCAAAATTTCAGATCAATTGGACAGGTCAAATTTTGTCATATATGGATTATAAGGTTTGTAGCAGACGAAATTATTTTTTAATTTTTTTAATAATGAAAAAAAAATTTTAATTTATAAAATTATTTATTCTGTAAATTGATTCATGCATTGTCTCCAACTTTACGAAAATGTGTAAAATTTCAGATCGATTGGACAGGTATAAGTGTGTTAAATATCGATTATAAGATTTGTAGCACACAGACAAACAAACAAGAAGTGAAGTTAAAGAGAAGTCTTGTAAAAATGAGAACTGAAGTATATTCTATTCTGTTATTTATCTACTTGAAAACAAATTTTGATTGAACATGCTGCTTTATTATACTTTTCAAGCGCTTTGCCTATTCTCTTGCACCTGACCTGGCTCAGGCCGCTGGATGTCCTGCCCGCGCCCGCCTGCTGCCAGACTCGCGACCAGCAGCAGCGTCGCCAGGGCTGTCATCGCGTTAGGTCAGCGCCTCGCAGGGCGATATTGAAGCAGTCCCACCTGCTTATTTCTGTGCCTCTTGACGTTATTCTCTCTGCCTCTGTGATGTTAGTTGCCTAAGAGCGAAGTGCATGTACCTGATCAAGAAAAAAATAGTAACGCAGATATGAATATATTATATATATATATCTATAAAATCTGGTAATGCTAGAAGATTTTTTGAAGAAATAGAACAATCTGAAGGCCGTTTAAAATACAACTCACTTTCTGAACTTACCTATTTCTCTCATTTCGAGTCCTACCTCGACCTATTAGTCAGCAAACACTATAATTTTATAATTATAGCCTTGGCAAACACTATAATTTTTTTCAAGCAATAAATCAGCTATGATACCACAGAGCAAGGTGTTTTTTTGACTAAAATAACAATTGGAATGGTGTATCTAAAAAAAATGTATGTTAGAACATTTTTTGGAATCTACAGTGCGACAAAAAAAAGGTTCCAAGTGCGCCATAGCAATACTTATCGTTTTTCGAAACCATGCTTAAAAATTATTTAAATAGTATTATATATCATTAAGAATTTTAATTTGAAGGTCAAAATAGCATAATCTCTTCAAATCACCTAATGGAGATTTAAATGGTGTTTATTGGTTAAATGAGGACCCCAAAAGATCATTAATTAATTTCATTCGTTATGAAATAATTTTTATTTACTTAATTCTATCCTTAAAATGCTCCGTCATTGCCAGTCAGTTTATGATAGCATGAAGCAGTGCATTCGTTCACTGGTGGAGACATGAATGTGAGATATTCTTAAATTTGGTGCATTTACAAACGTTTCGAGGTGACCCAACGCACATTTATTCAGCAAATACTATAGTTATTGCGGAATTCGGAGCACTGAGAAGCTTACCATTTTATTTAAAAACGCGTGTCAATGAAGCTCGTGCACATAAATTATGAAATGATACTGCGAATAAAAAAACATATGCGAAGTATCGACGGATGCGAGAAGCATTGAACATCCTAAATAATTAAAAATGTTTAACGGAAAGGACATCCACGACTTCAACTATTGAACTAAATTATGATGCACGAGCTTCGTTAGACAAACAAAAGCTGTTAATAAAACTAATGCAAAATGTGCCGGATTGCGCCTTTCGAAATTACTTTTTCTGATATCTAATTAATTATAGAGTAAGATTCAATAAATCTTGTTCTGTTAGATCGATTTAATTCCAAATTATAAAGTTGTTTTCCATCTTAAACTTTGTTTTCAAACTTCGTACATTTAGGGAATATGAAACTTTAGTTCGTCATTGTGTGCTTCATATTTGACGCTCAATGCAATAAATAATGCAGTCAGTTGCTCGATCCTGCGAATTATTAGTATTATTATTGGGATAGACTAATTCCCTGTGTATGAGTTTCCTGATCGATATTGCTCTCTTTCAATAGATAAACACATGGTTCAATGTTAATAATACATTAACATTGAAGGTGAGGTACTTATAGTTCTCCCCCACTCTTAAAACCAAACAAATGGGAAGCCAAGTTACGACTGTTTATGGTATTCTGCTGTGGGCATTAAAACCATGAGCTATCTTGTAGCTGAATTTAAGTGAGCTGCAGCTATATATTATATAATTATTATAGATACGGTCACGCGAAAGTCATCTTCACGTCAATTTCCATTGATTACCGCCGTGCTGGGGTGGTTTTGTTTGAAACTAATAAGGAAATAAAAGGTTAATCAGATCGAAAACAAGAAAATATTTTCATAAGTTAAATTTTTACGAAATAAATTTGTGAAAGCAACTCAGACAAGCAATAGTAATAATGGAAGTAGATGTTTGTGCACGTCCTTTGAGTCATAGCAGGTGATAAAAATCTGTACAGCATAGCAGTAAGTTTGTAATTTATTCTCAGCAATTACAGTGACTATATGGTAAAAAGGGATTAATAGAAAAGATTAGTTATTTAAATTCCCCCATTCTTAATTTAAAAGATTATTTAACTTCCCCATGCATGCAAGAACAGTTTTTCAGGATCAATTACCCATCAATTTCTGTTTTAATGTAAAGTTACCTCAAACTCCCAGCATCTGTTAAATTTCATTAAAAAAAGAAATCTGACTATAAATTAGCGTCAATGTATTTAGAGTTCATTTACTGTTCGCTACAGAAAATGCAACCTTGCACTTAGAACAAAATAAAAAAAATTCAAATGTAAAAGTATTTTCAAATAGGTATAATGATTAGAAACTCAATGCATTGTTTCGATTGTTTAATGGAATTTTTTATATTATGATAGTGTGATTAAAAAGATGGAGAAAATAAAATATATAGCACACAATAAGCCTTGCAACCTTATGACTCATCAGCATTGAACCTTAATTATGTAAACTTTACCTATCAAAGAATTTATACCAATTACACTGAATAAATTCCTATATAATATATTGTAGGCCAGCAGGGAATTAAAATTGGCAATATTCAACGGAGGGGATTAAACAAAAAGAAAAAATATAGTAATTTAAATAGTGAAATAAATATTACGGCATCGATCAATTTTTGAAGATTCCCACCGGAGTGTTCGTGAAATGTTTACTACGAATAGCAATACTTATTATTCAAAACGAATAGGAATATACCATTATATACGACTCTACATAACAAAATACGTTAATCCTTAACATAAAATGACATTCCATAACGAGATGCGTTACTCTTTAACGAAAGTGGCACTAAAAAAATACGGCTTTCTATAACAAAATCTGGCACTCCATAACAGAATACAGCTCCCCATAATAAATACGGCACTCCGTAATAAAATGCCATACTCCATTTCAAAATACTGCACTCCATAATAAAAAACGGCAGTCCATAAGAAAATACTGCACTCCATAACAAAGTATATGGCTCCCCATGGGGAAATACCGCGCTCCACGACAAAGACTGCACTCCATAGCAAAATAAGACCCTCCGTAATTAACGCATTCATATTTGTTTCACCTCGATTCTCAAATATGTTCTATAAGTAGTGAAACAAACATTTATAACAATGATTTTATTTAATCTCGAGTTAACCATGATTTTAAAAACGCAATGGAGATACCAAGATAATTTATTTTCCAAATAAATTCGTTAAAGTTCAACGTCTCATATTATTTACGTAAACAAACAATTCAATATTTGGCATATAATTATCTTAATTTGGCATACAGGTGCCTTGCCATTTTTTAACGTAGAATACGAGCATGTTTTTATTTATAATGTTTCAATATAGCCCATAAAATCTTAAATCCAGTAATATAATCATGTAAAAATTTCGTTTATTAATTATAATTTGACGATAATAATTTCCTTTGCAAGATGATTAAACACAATTTTTCTACAACAAAACTCCCACCGAATAATATTTTTTTCTAACGTCATATATATTCTACTCTCATACACAGTTTTTTTCAGGCACGACTACAGATATAAAATTATAAATTAATTTTTTGTTCGTTGTTTATTTTTACCATCAAGCCATTAATTGAGTGCATGTACTGCTGCGCGCTCAAAAGATTTTCCTTTACTGAGAACATTAATAATATAATCGGCAAATTTTGACTCAATTTTCTGAGCTGAAACATGTGACGAGAAACATCTCAAGAATTACATAATTGCTTAAAATAAAGTTATATTGTACTGTTTTTAAAGTGAACCGACACTTACTGGAGATTGCTTACGTACTCTTTATAAGGGACTGAACTCTTCCTAACGAGTGGAAACTTAAAAAAATAGCGATCATGCCCATTTATAAACTTTCAACAGATGCAGCGGTTTAAATAGCCAAGGTAAGACAACTTACATTCAGGGAAATTGGAGGGACGACCATAGCGGGAGCTTGAAGAGCTGAGCTACAGCAACTTACATTTAGGAACTCACGACCATGGCGGGAGTCTGATGAGCCGTGCCACAACGGAACTTACATTTAGGAACTTACGCATGACAAGAGTTCGAAAAGCCTAGCCACGGCAACTTACATTTAGGAACTCACGGCCATGACGGGAGTCTGATGAGCCGTGCCACCACGGCAACTGAGGACAGGACGTCGCTCTGGTATCACAGTCGCGCAGCAAGTGCGGACCATCGGCTGCCTCTTACGTCTTTGCCGTTCACGTGAATTATTACGTGAATTATTATGACTGAAAGGACGACGGTCAAGACAAAGGTGACTGCTGACCTAAGAATGAAGCTGGCAAACTATCTATACTTAAATCTGTGCAGCATTTCTTCAATTGCTACTCAGATGATTACAATGTTAACCGGTCTGTTATTAAAGATGGTTTGCTGGCTGACTGTTTGATACCCCGTCACAAATGGTGTGCATTGTTTTATTTACTTTATTAAAATAAGTCTGATTTATGACACTTAAGATTATTTGCTGGCTGACAGTTTGGTGCTCGTTTTCAGAAGACGCACAATGTATGCCGGTCCGCTCTACGCCACTCGAGATTAGCATAGTACCTATCTTTGTGACGTTTGATCCCCATCTTACATGATAATGTATAAGGGTCTATGGGCTGTCATAGACGTTAGGTCTGGCTAGTCTGTGAGGTGCCAGTTAGGTTTGATCTGTCCAGTTTACTTATTATAATTTAGTTGATCTGCCGGTCTGTTATGCCCCATTATAGTTTAATTCTAGTTGTCTTTAATGTCATTAAGGTTTAAAAGTCCAGTTTGTTGATACAAACTTTTTGTGAGAGTTATTTGGCCGGTTTGTTTGAGGTCATTTAAGTTTGTTTTATTCTCCCTTGAATTTTAATTAAGAAAGATTACATAACCAGGCTACGAGACGACTCTATTCAACAAATTGTTTTAGATTTCGCAGCTCCATTGAGCGTGAGGCTTATGTATGATTGTCATTGAGCTCATCGTTACGTTATGTACCGCTGCAAAAATAAATTATAGTATAACCGCTACAATCCAGCTCTGCTTGCTTTAATTTGTCTTTCAGACTTC